TTAAAGAATGTAATATTGCACTAATATGCTTATAGTTGTTGTACATTCATCACAATCATCTAGGCTCCAATAAAAAGTGGGCTTGACTACAGAACACTACTCGACAACAAGAAAACTCGAAGAACAGAGCTCCTCAAATGAGTTAACAAGCTAATGCCAGTTTCAACTTATTTCAATCTTCTAATTCCAGCCAAGGCTGATATGATGAAGGCCATGCATTACATCTTGATCGCCAATTGTTTGAGAAGGTAGACCTAACATCTCAAGACACACCAGAACAATATCATAGAATATAAACCCTTCAAAATTGTTTCTTTTTTTGCAACTTGATATAGGAATGATATACAATCTTCAAGGATCAAAGTAATGTTGCGCGCAGCGGAAATTTCGGCAACACTTCGGCAGCACAACAAGAGAGTCAGATCGCAATAAGAATTCCCGTCTCACCAAGGAGACAAGAATCTGAAGCGGATATCTCAACCAAGTGAGATATCGGCTCTTCCTCTCATCAGTTCTAGGACTGACCTGTCGAGGGATCCTAAAAAGCTATTACAAATCACACAAAAACAATACAACCAATTTTTACGTGGTTCGGCAAATTGCCTACGTCCACGGGGCAAGGAGGGGGGATCTAATATTAGAGGGGAGAATACAACTAGGGTTTACAATCACTCAATCTAAACCCTCACACAATCTCTCAAACCCTCATACAAATATCTCTCAAAGGGATGCACAAACCCCTAAAAGAGACTACACAAAATCTCCTCAACTGCAGCCGCTATCTCCTCTTTGCCTTCGTACTTGCTCAGCCAAATTGAAGACAGCCACAAATCAAGTCCTTGCTTCTGTTCCCAAAATCAAGTCCTTGCACTCGGTTCTGTACCGTAGCCGCAAAAAAAAAAAAGAAATCAAAACCTCCCTTGCACAGCACCCGAAAAATACCTAGCATAGGTATTTATATAGCAGCTTAAGAATCGGGTGGGCCGGCCTTCATCACGCGGAAACGAAACCGGCCTTCATCACGCGGAAACAATTCTCAGCACATGGGCTCGTGGCCCCCACTCCCCACTCACAATTCTCCACCTCGGTGAAGTTTTCCCAAAACTGAGCCGACACCAAAGCATCCAAATGTCACAATTCTCCACCTCGGTGAAGTTTTCCCAAAACTGAGCCGACACCAAAGCATCCAAATGTCCCACTTGTATCCAGTACGAACCCAATCCACAACAAGTCGAGAACCCGAACGAGAGTCCAAACAATCTCACCCCCATCAACTAATCCAAACCGGCCGCATCTGAAAGACTGCCTACAAGGAATCAAGCCGAACGTAGTTCACCAAAATGGCCGCCAACGGCCTCAACAATCACGAATGTGCAACAAGTTTCGACAATGATCAAACTTATTGCTCGGAACCACCTTAGTGAGCATATCCGTCGGATTATCCTTCGTGTGGACTTTAACAATCTCCACATCGCCATCTTCAAGAACATCCCGAACGACGTGATAACGAACGTCAATGTGCTTCGTCCTCGCATGAAAAACCTGATTCTTCGCCAAATAGATAGCACTCATGCTATCACAATGAATAGTGACTGACCTCTGCGATATACCAAGTTCCTCCAAAAGTCCTCGAAGCCAAATAGCCTCCTTCACAGCCTCCGTACTGCCATATACTCTGCCTCCGTCGTAGACAAAGCCACCGTCGACTGTAAGGTGCATCTCCAACACACCCACCGTCGACTGTAAGGTGCATCTCCAACACACCGGCGCACGGGTCAAAGTAAACACATACCCCGTCGTGGACCGGTGCTTATCTAAATCACCGGCATAATCCGAATCAACATAACCGATGCATAGCTGCCCACCTGTAGTGTCCCGCTCATAAACTAAACCAACATTGAGCGTACCTCGAATGTACCTCAAAATCCATTCCACGGCGTCCCAATGACCCACTCCTGGATCATGCATGTATCTCGAAACCATGCTTACCGCCTGTGATAAATCCGGCCTCGTACATACCATTGCGTACATCAAGCTCCCAACCGCGCTCGCATATAGAGTCTTCGACATCAACTCTCGATCTTCAACTGACTTCGGTGAAAGACCAGCTGAAAGTTTCAAATGGGCTCCCAAAGGTACACCAACTGGCTTCGTATCCATGCTAACATGGAATCGCTGTAGAACCCCCAAAGGTACACCAACTGGCTTCGTATCCATGCTAACATGGAATCGCTGTAGAACCTTCTTCAAATAAACCACTTGTGTCAAACAAATTCTGCCACTATTCTTGTCTCTGCCGATCTCTATCACTAAAATGCGCTTCGCCTCGCCCAAGTCCTTCATCTCAAACTCATTTGAAAGCTGAACTTTCAACTCATCTATAGCCGACCTGGAAATAAAGGCAACCAACATGTCATCGACATAGAGCAACAAATAAATGTACGCACCTCCTTTCAACTTACGAAAATATACGCAATGATCAAACTGGCTCCGAGTGTACGAATGACCAAGCATAAAACCATCAAATCGCCTATACCACTGTCGAGGAGACTGCTTCAAACCGTATAGCGATTTCTTCAGTTTGTAATTTTTCCTTCCCTGCAGTTCGGAATCCCAATGACTGAGTCATATATATTTCTTCATCAAGATCACCATGAAGAAATGTTGTCTTCACATCCAACTGATCTAACTCCAAACCATACTGTGCCACCAAAGCTAGCAAAATCCGAATCGAAGAGTGCTTCACCACCGGAGAGAAAACCTCATTATAGTCAATACCTTCCTCCTGTGCATAGCCCTTCGCAACCAACCTAGTTTTGAACCTCAATGGAGTACCTTCAATGCCCTCCTTCTTCGTGTATACCCACTTGCAACCAATTGGCTTCCGTCCCTTTGGAAGCTCAACAAACTCCCATGTATCGTTCTTATGAAGAGATTTCATCTCCTCCTGCATAGCCACCTGCCACGAATCAGCCTCCGAACTCTGCTCGGCCTCTCTAAATGTAGTAGGCATCATCTCATCGATACTCTCAACCGGAAGTGCATATGCAACTGTGTCGGCATACCGTGCTGGCACCCGTATGCCGTAATAGAATCCTGAACCTGAGCCGTCGGTTCCTGATCCTGCACATTTGTACTCGTATCCTCCGTGTCACTGTCGTGCTCGCCTGGCGTCACCTCAGTCGGCACCTGCATGGATACTGTACCATCTGGACAATGTGGAGCTGCATCGATCTCCACCACCTGCGATATCTCCTCCGTCGGGTCGCTCTCCACCTGATGAGAGCTGGGAAGCTTCAAGATAGAAGCCTCATCAAACGTGACGTCCCTACTCAGCACAATCTTCTTATCCACTGGATCCCAAAGCTTGTATCCCTTGACACCACGCTTGAATCCTACAAATATGGCCTTCCTAGCTCGAGGTTCTAATTTATCAGTTCTAACATGATAATATGCAGGGCACCCAAATACCTTAAGCTGGTCATAGTCATGTGCTGGCTTTCCCGACCACATCTCCATAGGGGTTTTCTCGTCAATCGCAGATGAAGGCAGCCTATTAATGAGGTGACTCGCATATTTAAGTGCCTCAGCCCAAAAGATCTTCTCCAAACCACTCTGCGACAATAAGCATGGGATCTTCTCCAGTAAAGACCGATTCAACCTCTCTGTCACACTATTTTGCTGCGGTGTATGACTAACTGTGAAGTGTCTCTCTATGCCCTCGTCTCGACATAGCTGTTGAAAGGGGTCAGAAGTATACTCACCACCGTTGTCGGATCGCAACGTCTTGATCTTTCTCCCAGTCTGCAGTTCTAATCTCTTCTTCCACTCCACAAACAAATCTAGGACTTCACTCTTCTTCGTCATGGTGTACACCCAACAACGCCTAGAATAGTCATCTACAAAAGTGACGAACCAATGTCGACCACCAAGTGATGCAGTCTTGGTAGGACCCCAAACGTCTGTGTGCACGTAATCCAGGATGCCCCTCGTCTGATGAATGGCAGTCCCGAACTTCACCTTCGTCTTCTTGCCAAGAACACAGTGCTCACAGAACTTAATCTTCCCACTCTTGGCTCCCTTCAATAGCCCCTGCTTACACAATGCCTGCAGTGACTTTTCACCTGTGTGCCCCAACCTATAGTGCCAAAATCTGCTCATATCCACTTCTGAAATAACCGAAACAACCTGGCCAATCTCGGTGCTTCCCTTCAGATAATACAAATTTCGATTGCGGACTCCCCTCATCACCACCAATGATCCTTTAGTAACCTTCGCTACAGCGTTTTCGAAAGTCACCTTGAATCCCTTCGCCTCCAAAGCTCCAACTGAGATAAGATTTTTCTTCAGTTGAGGAACAAATCTCACCTCCTTCAACTCACGGACTATTCCATCGTGCATCCTAATCCGTACGGTACCTATCCCACAAACGCCACAGGATTGATCATTTCCCATGACAACAACGCCCCCGTCGACTTTCTCAAAAGATGCAAACCAGTCTCGCCTAGGGGTCACATGAAAAGTAGCATCGGAATCAAGCATCTAATCTG